AATATTTATTTTAACAAGCAGTAAATTAATGTTATCCTTAAAAAGGAAATTTTAATTTGTTTTAATCACGTGCCGCAGCAATAAATCATTTGATCATTGGTTTAATTATACTGCGCATCAAAAAAATCTATAAAAACACTCACTCCCAAAAAAAAAAAAATAGTTTTTAAAAAAAAAAAATGCTAAGATCAAATACCTCAGGTGTTGAAAATATATACTACGAAAAGACAAGAAAATGCTGGGTATATCAAAAATACAAAAATAAACAGCTCCATAGACGCAGATTTCCTGGTGACTATGATGACAAATCTGTGCTGAACCGTGCAATCAAATACAAAAAATACTACGAATCCAAATTAAAGGACATCACAAATACTTTTGAAAACAAAAACGCTAAAGCAAAACTAAAGGATCCAACAAACAAACTCAAAATTAATTTTATAATTAATTAATTTAATTCTTTGAATTGAGAGAGATTCACAACAGAGATCGGTTCAAACCTATCTTTCTGTTTGATCGAACTTGCAAAAGCCTTCTCCCTTTGTCTATCAGTAGTCTGTCTCACATCTATCTTTGTAATTTTTCTCAATTCCAATAAACAATCTAATCAGTCAAAGACCGATTAGATTTTTCTTTGTGTAATTTTTTTTTATTTTAAGGTGAGAGGGCTCCAACCGTATCTTGTTTAGGAATTCGCTTTCTTCACTTTATACTAACTCTCAATTCACTCTCCGGTAATTTATTACCCTTGTTTAATTCAACTTCCGTTGAATGACTGCAAGATGTCAAATCTTACATTTTATTCAACATTAGGTTACTATGCAGTTCGTGTTGGTCATGAACCAGGAATATACTTGTCGCCGAAACAATGTAAAGAACAGATTCATGAATATCCTGGTGCCTTGTATAAAAAATTTGATACAAGACAGCAGGCTGAGGATTTTATTAAACCAATAGAAGATATTAGAAACAATCTATCAGTTTGGTCAGTTTGGACTGATGGTTATTGTTATAATTGTAAAGAAATAAATGGTAAAAAACAATATCTAGGAAAACTAAATTCAATTGCTGGAATAGGAGTATTTTTTGCTGACAATGATGATCGAAATCTGTCCGAAAGATTACCAGGCGAAATTCAAACAAACAACCGAGCTGAATTATATGCTGCTATTCGTGCATTAGAAATTGTCGATAAACAACAAGATATTATTTTAAACACAGATAGTATGTATGTGATTTATTCATACAACAATGAAACACCTAAACAAAATACAGATCTAGTCAATAGATTTAACGATTTGATCAAAGAACGAAAAGGCAAAACATATTTTAATCATGTGAAAGGACATAGTGGCATTTATGAGAATGAACAAGCAGATAGATTAGCATATTTAGGTTCAAAAAAGAAATTTACTAGATTAGAATTACCTACATCCAAAAGATTAATCGATCATTATTTTATCAAGAAATCAGTTGATAACTCAGAAAATGCAAACGATTCTTATATTGATGAATTTATCCGTATGTTTATTGAAAAGAGAATCGATAAATGGTTAAAGAATGGTTGGGTCACAGGAAAAGAAAAAAACAAATTGAAAGCACCTAAAGATATTTGTTTACGAATCAATGAGATAATCAAAAATAGAAAAAATGTAATTGAATATATTCATAAATCTAAAAGAAAGAGAAATT